CCTGAGGGAAAAAAAACAAAGTGGATATTGTTACTTCAAACTTTAATTTCAGTGTCACTTGAAACATTATTTTAAATAGATGGAATGTATCAAGAATTAAATACTGATGTTTGAGATTACATAGATGGAATGAAAGGGGAATAAGGGGATCTGTGATTGGTGACCTGGGAATGGAATGCAGGTTCACGGGATTAAAACTGTTGCTTGTCTGACAGATAACCATCGAGCTGGACTAGGTGGACTATGTCCTTGTTTGCATTTTGTAATTTCTATGTATCTTTATTTAAGTATATTGGTGAAACTGAGGCAATCTGTTCCCTCTCTCTGAGTTAGGTTTACTTTGGGCCTGGTCGATGTCATCAGGTACACTGGTTACAAACCACAAGGAGGTCCTGTGCTAAGGACAGAGAGAAAATAAGTGGAACATGTTGCAATAAATAAAAGATTTTGTTTGCTTTTAGTAAAAAGTGAGAGTCTAACCAGCTGAGTTATTTGAGGTAAAGCTTCAAATGATTTGAAGATTTGATAGAATTGAACCTTGATTTTGGCTGCTGTAGCTCAGCACAGAATCTGATGGCCTCCAGCACACGTTTGTTGGTGGGGAAGTACTTAATGAGGTGGGCACCCTGCTACCATTCTGCCTCTGCCCCAATGAGAGTGGGAAGGCCTGTGAACAGCCACTAATTGAGGTCTTTAAATGGGCAATTACTAACCAATTAATGGCACATTGCACTGCCATTGGTATTAACTCAGCAGCGGGCTGGTTGGAGAGAAATGGGGACTGGGGGTTAGCCTGCTGTCGGTGTAGGAAGCACAACATACAAAGTTCCATTTAGAGATCTGTGGGTAAGGGAATCCTTTGTTCAAAGACATTCAGTGCTTGTTGGAGGGGTCTGGCATTTGGAAATATTGTGAGAAACCTGATGAGAACCATTTCTGTACTGCAGATCCCGCTGCCCTTCTGTAACTCCCCACCCTGAGACCCCTTCCTGCTATGTACCGATGATTTGGTGTCCAGTGACAATGCTGGTCCTCAAGTTGGTCTTGTACTATCGCCTCTGTGGTGGTGGTGCTATTTGGTAGAGCTGTAGGACTCTCATTACTGACAGCTCTTGGTGGGCAAGACTCTGGGATCCTTGATCCCAGGTAAGACCCACTTGGCATTTAATTTGGTGGGTCTTCCCCAAAATAAATATTGCAGACCTTTTGTCAGCTTTCAGCCACTTGGTGAGACTCCCAAAGCCTCCACTAAATATTGCTGTCAGTGTTTGAAATGGGGCCACTTTAGAACCTTCAGCTAAATTAAACTAATTAAGTTGAATTGAACAAATTAACTAGACAATGACCAATTTTCCGCCTTCAATCCAAATGAACAGATTTTGCAGGTTCTGCTGAACTTGAGAGTTAAACTGAAAACACGAACTTCCAAGATAAAAATCTTGGGATTACTACCGGAGCCACAGACAAATTGGCATAGGGCAAATAAAGTCAAGGAGTTAAATGCATGGTTCTTGTTTTTGTTTTTGGTCACGGACACTAGAACTGGGTAGGAGGGAACTTTCTGGTGGGATGGGATTCACTTGAAATGTGCTGGTGCCTAATTATTCAATTTGCCATAATTAGGACTGTAGAGGGTGCTATAAACTAATTGGGGAGCGAAGGGGAGAATTTGGGGGAGGGCAGCTGCAGGCTTACAAAGCAAGAGGACAAAGCAGCTATTTGGATAATGCTACCGAGAGTGGAACACAAAGGGACAGAGCATACACACATTGAAAACAGCAATTAATAGGGTCAAAATTGGACAGAAATTAAAAAAAAACAAAATGAATGGCCGTTTACTTGAATGCATGTCATATTTAGAATAAAATAATTGAATTAATGTCACAAATATGGGTTAAGAGGGTATGATCTTACAGCCATTACAGAGACAAGGTACCAGGAGATGAAAACTGGGAACTAAGTATTCAGAGATATAGTAGGAACTGCAGATGCTGGAAAATCTGAGATAACAAGAGCCTCCCAGTCGCGAACCATTTCAACTCCCCCTCCCATTCCTCAGACAACATGGCCATCCTGGACCTCCTGCAGTGCCACAACGATGCCATCTGAAGGTTGCAGGAACAGCAACTCATATTCCGCTTGGGAATCCTGCAGCCCAATGGTATCAATGTGGATTTCACAAGCTTCAAAATCTCCCCTCCCCCTACCGCATCCCAAAACCTGCCCAGCTCGTCCCCGCCTCCCTAACCTGTTCTTCCTCCCATCTATCCCCTCCTCCCACCTCAAGCCGCACCCCCATTTCCTACCTACTAACCTCATCCCGCCCCCTTGACCTGCCGCACCCCCATTTCCTACCTACTAACCTCATCCCGCCCCCTTGACCTGTCCGTCCTCCCTGGACTGACCTATCTCCTCCCTACCTCCCCACCTACACTCACTTTTACTGGCTCCATCCCCGCCTCTTTGACCTGTCTGTCTCCTCTCCACCTATCCTCTCCTCTATCCATCTTCTATCCGCCTCCCCCTCTCCTCCCTATTTATTTCAGAACCCCCTTCCCCTCCCCCATTTCTGATGAAGGGTCTAGGCCCGAAACGTCAGCCTTCCTGCTCCTATGATGCTGCTTGGCCTGCCGTGTTCATCCAGCCCTGCACCTTGTTATTCAGAGGTATGTGACTTTTTACACAGACAGGCAGGAAAGAAAGAGTGTTGGGGTAGCGTTATTGGTACAGAATGGAATGAGTTCAATAGCAAGAGATGATCAAAGATTGGAAGACATAGGATCTGTATGGGTGGAGGTAAGAAACAAAAAGAGGAATAGATCTCTAATCCATAGTAGCTAACAAAGAATATGGTGGGACAAAGAATAAATCAGGAGATAAATGGGGGGCCTTTAACAAAGGTAGCACATTAATCTTAGGTGACTTTTATCTTCATGTCGGTTGGGAAAATCAAATAGGCAGAGGTAGCCATAACAAAAAAATTACAGTGTATTTGGGATAGTTTCCTGGAACAATGTGTCATGGATCCAACTAGGGATCAGGCTAATTTGGATCCAGTGATGTGTAATGTGGCAGCATTAATAAATGAGTCAGAGTAAAAGATCCCCTAGGAAGTAATGACCATAACATGGTAGAATTATGCGTTTGAAAGGGAGGACCTTGGGTTAGAAACAGCTGCGCTATGCTTAAGTAAGAGTAATTATAAAGGAGTGAGGGCAGAACTGGCTGAAATGAACTTGGAAAAGGGTTTAGCTGCAAAGATGGTTGAGGAACAATGGCAGACGTGTAAGAAAATACATCTTGGTTCACAGCAAAGATATACCCAGTGAAGAAGGAGAATTCTGGGAAGGGGACAAACCAAGGGAAGCCAGGGAGGTTTGTGATAACATCAGGTTTAAAGAAAAAAACATAGTTTGGCAAAGATTAGTGGTAAGCCAGAGGATTGGGAAAATTTTTAAAAAACAACAAAAGATCTGGAACACAACTTTGCAGTGCTGCAGCTGGGTTATTTTCAGGGCCCAAAGTTTTGTTGATGTTGTGCTTTTGGCCAAATTGTTATTTCATGAATGAAAGTGCTTGAAGATTGGTTTCTGGGTTGGTGAGGAACCTCATGAGAAGCCCGAGATAGATCATCCACTCAGCATGTGTTGCTGAAGATAAATGCCAATACTTCAGCCTGGTCTTTTGCATTGAGGTTCTGGTCACCCCCATCATTGAGAATAGGGATATTCAGGGCAAATACTTGTCCTGCTAGTGTTTTTAGGCAGCTGGATTTGGCAGGATTGCAGGGCTTAGAAGCATAATCTGATTTAATGATAGTGGGATCACTTAGCCCTGTCTATCACTTGCTGCTTCGATTGTTTGATGTTTGACATGCAAGTAGTCCACTAGAGTTTAGAAGAATGAGAGAGGATCTGAGCAAGACACATATAATTCTTACAGGGCAAACTAAATGTAAGAAAAATGTTTTCCCTAATTAGAAGTCTAGAACCAGGGGACACAGTATCAGAGTATGGGTTAGACCATTTAGGATTGAAATGAGAAAACATTTCCTCACTCAAAGGCTAGTGAACCTGTGAAATTCTCCACTACAGAAGGCTATACAGACCAAGTCACTGAATATTTTCAAGGAAAAGAAAAATAAGTTTTCAGGTTTTGAAGGCATCAAAGGGTATGGGGAGAATGTGGAATTATGGCATTGAGATGGGGTCAGCCATGATGGAACAGTGGTACAAGCTTAAATGGCTAAGTGGTCTCCTCCTGCTCCTGGTTTCTATGTGTCCTTACTTTACCAGGTTGGTACCATATTTTTAAGTATGCCTGATGCTGCACTTGGCATGTTCTCGTATGCTCTTCATTGAGTCAGGGTTGACCCCATCGCTTACAGTCTTAGTAGAGAGGGGCCATGCAGATTATAGGAGATTACAGATTGTGGTTGAATACATTTTTGCAATTGTTGATGACCCAGAGTGCATCATTGGTTTTGAACTGCAAGATCTATTTGAAATCTGTCCCATTTATCCTGGTGGTGTGATTTATCATGATGGAGAGTGAAGATGGGACCTCCTCTCCAAAACCCTAATTTTTTTTGAAAAAAAGTGTTTAATTGACTATCACTTTTCTTCACTGTGATAGATTACAAAGGTGAATTGCAGCTGCAGGGTGCTAAGCACAGATCATTGACCTACTTAAGTAAGGTGAAGACCCACAATCAGTGTCAGGTTGCCAACCAACCTCTCTCCGTAGTGTTTGTTTTAAGATGCTCACGGGATTCTATTATACATCTTCTGTAGTCAATATTGAACACAGACCTAGCTGATTTTCACCCTGTTTACAGCAATTGTCACCAAATATTACCATTACCCCTTCTTGAAAATGGTATATTCAGAAAAACCTTGAAAGTTTCTGGTATGTTTCTTAACCTTTGACGTATTGATGATTTTATTAATTCTTAATGATGTTAAAATTTTCCATGTAATTGCAAGGTAAAGACTACTCACTCTAAGGTGAACTTGAAGTACAATATAATATTTTTTGTAAGACTTATGAAGAAGTAAAAGGAGTCTTGCAAAATCCAAGCAGGTTATAAGGGCTGTAGGAAAAAAAGAAAAGATCATTCAGACTTTTAGTGAAGTGACACTGGTCTTAACTACCATTTTTTCTTCTCTTTATAGTTACCCTCAATCACCAACTTGTTTTCCTGTGAGGTGAATATTGATAGAGTCCGAGATATAACTGATACTAAAGCATTTGAAAGGAGGTGTAGTGACTCAAGCATAGAATGTTCTACCACTGCAGAAGGTACCTTTAATTAACATTGGCTATATAAAAAGCAGTATTATCAAAATTACAGGGACAATGACAGAAGTACAATGTTGCAAGCTCCCCATCCACCCCTTTTGTGCTGAAAAGACATATGCTGGAACACCACTGCCCTGAATTTAATCTTTTATATCCTGCAACAAACATCTTTTGCAGTTCTCTTCAGGAAGACATAGTGCTCATAGCACTAGGTGGCATCTTATTCCGTTAGTTATTAGCTACAGGTGAAGGAATTGCTATTCCTAAGCTACCATGTAGCTTTTGACTTGTTGATTTCTAAATATTTCATCTCGGTCTGTAATAATTTTGCATAAATTACTCGCACCTTCATCATGAACATCCCAGCATGAGCATGACCTCTCATTCCATTTTCTGTGTTCTTTAGTCAGTGTACGTTCAGGATTGAATGCAATAATTTATATGTAGTCCCATTTATTAGACAAAGTCAATGTTGCAGTCATAAAGTGATCTGACTCTCTTGTTTTACTTATTAGAGGTCAAAGCTAGACTATATGCAGAAATGACGGACAGGAAGAGGTCCTGCTGCTTCAAGATCCTGCTTATAAACATTTTTTGATATGTTTATACCTAGTGGAAGAGAGTCTCTGTATACATACCTCATCTTTTAACTCTTGCCTTTGGAGCTCAGCGGTTTCCTTTCAAGAAGATTTGGGGCATGGGAATGGTGGTGGATAGGAGGGTGGGGGCTTGACTTTGTGAACTGAAGTTTCAGTTAATGAGTGCTTCTGGGGAAATCCTCCCATTCCTGTTGGTCAAGTTTTACCTCAGTCTCTGTTGAGTTCTGCACAAACACAGAGAAGACTTTAGAATAGTAAACACAGGAGAGGTTACTTTCCTCAGTGATTTAACTGGAACAAAACCATTTTGGATGATAATAATTACGCTCTTCTCTGCTGACTGGATGAAACAAAATAATGAAACATTGCTTACATTTCATTCATGAATCAAATAGTTTTTGACCAACTTTTGACATTGCAAAAAGTCGCAAAAAGCAGTTATAAACACGTCAAGTAAATGAAAATCTTCTGCTTAATTTGCCAAAAATGTATCCCAGGAAAGTTCTGTCTGTTTAATATGCGTTGTTTGGAACCTGAAGTTTAGATTTGAATTTCCTTCAGGTTTTAAACTGGAATTGCCTTCATGCATTTATCTTCATGCTTTAGTCCAAACTAGTAGTCATTTAAGCAAACAACATGGACCTCCACTGAAGGACACTGTAATATATGACTGATTGATGAAACCCTCAATGGCAGTATTTCATGGCAAATATTCTATCTAACATATTGGGGTTAGGATGACTTTGTATCTGGTTACAGGGCTATGTTGAGAGAGAAGGGTCGTACAGAGTATTCCTTTGTAAATCAAACTCGTTATAATTGGACTCACTAGATTACCAAATGCTTTTCACAGCAAGGTTATTTTGCACCTTTTTGTGGAATTGTGTGTGAAGCTGAAAGGTGACACTATTTTTACTTCTTCCTTTGAGCATCAACATTAAATATTCAAGCTTTTTGTTGCAATTCTACAAGGGCTTAAATTTGGATTTTCCATTCCCTCACCTTAGCTAATTATCTTTTTTCCATTTACAGTACAATATCCTTTTATTGTCACGTGTGTCCGATTGTAGGAGTACAGTGAAAAACTTTTACAATGTCTGCCTTTTTATGGCGAAATCTTAGGTACAAGTACCTAGGTACAATTCTTGGATACAGCAGAGGGATAAAAGTAGTGGCTTAATTACATAGTTAAAAATAAGTTCAAAATAGGAATATATTAAGGGGTTAACATGACAGTGTTCTAAGGTAAGGATTGTCCCCTCGCACTGATTTCTGTCCACTACTCGCTGCCGGTGCGCTGCTCTAGGGGCTGCTTCCCATGTTCTGCTGCGGGGCTTCTTCTCCGTGCTGCTCCGGGCTTGCAGCCCACGTGCTGCACCACGGCTCAGTGCTCGCGGTGTTCTGGGGTTCACGGGGCGCGCCTGCAGGCCCTCGAGCGCAAGGCCTCATGCTGCTCGCTCCAGTTCTCTGCGGGTCTCGGCCCACTTGCTCCAGCCTGACGTGGGTCTCGGCCCACTCGCTCCGGCCTGACGTGGGTCTCGGCCCACTCGCTCCGGCCTGACGTGGGTCTCGGCCCACTCGCTCCTGCCAACTGTGGGGCTGGGCTCACTCACTCCAGCCTGACGTGGGTCTTGACCTGCTTGTTCCGGTCCTCTGCACCTCTTGGCCCACTTGCTCCACAACTCCACACTGGGTGGGTGGAAGAGAAAGGGAAAAAGGGAGAGAAATAAAGAGGGAAAGGAAGTGAGCCAAGGAGCTCTGAATGGAGCAACCTACTCTGCCGCCATCTTGGAATGGCCAACTTAAAGCCAATCACTTATATTCAGTTAGCATTGGACTGAGGTGGTCAAGCTGCGTTTGAGCTTAGTATTTTTAAAGTTGTCAGAGAGCCAGTGCTGTCGTTGTTTGTGTTACATTTTAACCCAAGGTTACAAAAGCATGTTGAATTGGCTGACTGCATTTCAGAAGTTCTCTGAACCAATTCAAAATAAAAATAAAACATTGTTAGATTAAGGGCTTGTGTACCAAACATTTACAAACACTTTATTTGTTTTTTTGTACCAGGCAGAGGAACCCTTACTCCCTTTATCTGAGCTAGATTAGTACAGAACTCAAAAGAATGACACAATAAGTGCAAATTGTTCATTTGGAATACTGTGCTTTCAGAGAGTTCAGGGAATCTGCCCCAGCCTGTTCTACTGACTCTTAGAAGAACGTTTAACAATGTGACAATGTAACAATGTCAATCAAACTTTCAGTAGATGACTGACAACAGGAATTCCTTCAACATCTATACCTGATTCACCAGTGTCAGTGCTGAGATGGCTAGGATTGGCACATTAGAACATCAGTGTGGTACAGCAGGATATTCTCTTCTCAGGTTGGGATCACCCGTTGCTGTACCTCTTCAGTGCTGTAGACATCTATCTCCGCATGTTATGTGGAACAATATTTTATTTCCATACACAGACGTCCTTCATTCTGATAAGAACATAAAGCATATGACTGAACATGACACAGGGGAATAGTTGAAGAACTATTCTGTAATAAGGTCTTTATAAACAAACATAGCTAGTTTATAACAGAGGCAAATCTCTTTTTGTTCTCCATTCTTGAAGGTTGGAAGTTACAAAGTGTTACCTAAATTCTTATTACACCCAATACCGTATATTCCATGCCATAAACTAGAGCCATTTATTTTCCAGAAAATGATTAATGACTAAATGACTCAAAGTTGGTTCTTCCCATTTTTAGAAGCTTCTCAGAGTAATCTTATTTGTTGAGAAATAACTGCTGATTAGTGGTAAGGTAATCTGGTGTGTAAAACATTTTCTGTGCTTCTCGTGTCCTCAATGAATTTGAAACCAAATTCAACACTTCACCCTCCTGAAACATCTTTTAAGGTTGTTTTATTTTTCATCAATGGGTCTATCTGTCATAGAAAATGAGTTTAAAACCTGTTCAGCCTCTAAAAGTAACGGCCTGGATCAGACCAGCACAATATAACTCAAATTTGCTGTGAATGTTCTTGCTGAACCATTAGCTCATGTAATCAATTTATCTTTTGTGCAGGGCTCAATGCTTATCAAGTGAAAATGTACTGAAGTTATTCTAGACTGTGAAGGTTGCATAATTCATATTAATAACTACCAGGCTGCTTGTATTTTAACATTAATATCCATAACAATGGAAGCATTTCTCGTGCTGCAATGATGTATAATTTAACAAACTCTTCCCTTGACTTTTAAAAGGATGGAGGAAATATTAAGTTCATAGATTGTGACCTTGATTTAATGGAACGTCTGAGTGGGCATGATATGGGTAGGAGTGGGTGGCGGCTGGGAGAATTGTACGGGAAGGTTAGCTTGTGATTCCTGGTATTTGGAAAACTATTTCCAGTTTAGTGGGGGCCAGACAGGCTCTGAAACGGGAATCGTGTTTACTTCCAGCTAGATGCCAATTAGGCTCATTAATAAGCCAGTTTAAAAGATGGTTGAAAAGGGCGAGAAGTTAAATTTGCTTTCAAGTTTGTTGAACACTCCAGAGGCCTAGAAAATGTTTTACATATCAGATTATCTCTCCACTAATATTCAGTTAATTCTCAACAAATAAAAACTATTTTAAGAGACTTGTAGAAGTGGAAAGAACACAGTCTGAGTTGCCTGGTCAGCCTGAATTTTCCAGAAAATAAATTATTCTGGTGCTTTAGTTTTCAGCATGGAATATGCCATATTGATGTATGAAGTATTTAAATAATCCGTAGTGATTAAAAGACACTTACCTTTGAGCCCACTCGAGCTGAAAGGTAGCTCAGATTTTTAACAGCCAGCAGGCGTCCCCCAGGGAGATCCTTGCTCATGGGCATTGAGGAACCATCAGGCAGGGGGTGCGCTGAGTTAGTGCTATCACAATGCTGTTCTATCCAACGACCACTTTTTGGTGATCCCCCTTGCTACAACTGCTATCCTGCCGCAGTTGTCCATCTGCAGGGAGTCAGCAATGATTTCTAATGAAGTTTTCAATGCATTACCAGCAGTAGCCACTGCTTAACTGGTGGTGCTACTGGCACTGTGGATCTTCTGCCCTCTGGCTGGTATTCTCTGAGGGCCCAGATTGCATGGGAGGTCTAATGCAGGACAGGCAAGTGCCTGATTTAACTTAAACTGTCTCGGGCCTCTCAGACAGAAGGTACATGAGCTCCCAATGAATCCCCAACCTGAGGTGAACCTCGTCGCTAAAACTAAAATCTACTTCATGTCTCACGCTGATTTCAGTAAACTTAACTCTTTTCCACAACTTCAAACATGATGCAATAATTACAATGCTGTCTGTAAAGTAATTCCATGATTGATCAAAATCTCATTTTAAATGTGTTTTGAATGTAAACGTTTGCAAGAAATAATCAACAATATGTGTAATAGATTGCAGATCACTGGCATGCTCATGTGATGGATAGTTGACATTTATATAGTATCTTTAATTTTATAAAACATCCCAGAGTCTTTCGTAGAGACATTGTAAAACAAAATTGGGACAGAATGACACATGGGATATTAGGCCAAATGATGAGAAGCTTGGCCATAGAGATAGGTTTTAGGTAATATCTTAAAGGCAGTAAATGAGGTAGAAATGGGAAGAAGAGATATAGGAAGGGGATTCGAGAGTGTAAGCTTGGCTGCTGCAAGGCCTTCAATGACAGGCAGATTACAGTCCGGGATGGTCAAGAGGTCAGTGTTAATGTGTAGTTCATAGCTGTTATCGCTAATGGCTGGAGTGCATCATCAATGTAATAGAATATGTCAGTTCATATGGAACTGGGACCTGAAGGATGAATGTGCTTGATAGTATTTTCCTGCTGAAGCACATCTTTGTAAATAGTGAATAAATGTTCAAACTCATCCAGAACCTAGTTGTGATGTTTAAATATACAGTGGATCTATTTTCAGCATTGCAGGGCTGGAGGAGATTACAGGGGTAGCAAGGAATGAGGGTAGAGTAGGAATTTGAGAACGAGGATGAGAATTTTGAACCAGGGCATTGCTAAACTGGAATTCGATGTAAGTCAGAAAGCACAGAGGTAGTGAGTGAATGAGACTTGGTGGAAGTAAGGACTTATGCAGCAGGTTTTGGATGATTTACCCTTTAGTTAACTTCTTCACTCATTCAGCTTTCTAACATTAAAAGTCTGAGCATTTAATACTCAATCGATAAAAGACTGCTTCATCAACCTAAAACTCTTATGATGTGTGGAAGAAAATTATTCAAATAATGAGTATTAGAAGTTTGTCAGAAAAGTCTGTGCCCCCTACCATTTTGTACAATCAAACTCTGTTCAAACGCTGCACTCATTTTCAGATAGTCACAATTTCAATCTGGTATAGTCTTGCATTTTTAACAGGGCGCTCTCGTGCTTATGATATTCAACTTCATTTTAATCTCTGATCATCATATCTTTGAGGGTTCAGTATTTACAAAATTCTATTTCACTGATGTTCCTTCAATGATGTGCATTTCTGTTCTCTGATGATTTTAAAATTATATCTTTAATTTACTGACAATTAAATCATGGAGATATCCCAGATCCAGTGTACTCCGGATGCTGTGTCAGTCAGTTTTCCTTATAAACATCCTTATGGTTGTTTATACTTCTCAATAGTATTGAAGCTCTCCATCTATGATGATGAGTGTGTTAACGATTGAAAAGAAAGAAACACTTGTGTTTGTATAGTGCTGTTTCTGACCTCACAATATTCTAAAGTACTTTATGTTGTGCCTCACTGGGGTAGTGTGCTGGAGATCAAGTACCGCTCTCCCCAGAGTCATCACACTAGATAAAGATTTTATCAAAATCCTGTCAGATAGACCCAAGTTAACAGAACCCAAGTCGGGTTTCTGTACTTACCAAAAGCTACTATTTATTACAAATAAATAGTTTGTAACCACAGCTTTGAACAACAATGAGCTATCGACATATGATGGTAAAGTGCCATGGTTCCAGAGGACCTTAAGACTTCTTTGTCGTTAGAGAGAGAGAGAGGTGATTGGTGGTGGTTCAACCTGACGGTCACTACATCTCAGGCGAGAGAAGAGGGTGAAAAGGAGAGTCCTTCATGGTAACCTCAGCTGGTGCAGGAACTGAACCCAGTTATTGGCATCACTCTGGTTGGCTGGTTTGCAACATACAGCTCTGCTAGTTAAAACTCCAACCTACTTTAAAGCAGACAGCCCCAGGTATACATACATACAGACAGACAAACAAAAAGGTGTTACAGGTGGAGGGAAAATAAAACTGGGGGGAACAGTTCCACTGGTTGATAGCACACTTCTCACTATTCAATAAAGTGTGCCTTTCTTCCTCAAGTCCTACAGTTTTCTGATCTTTTTCTTCTCATTCATTCACAGGAAGCACAGAGCGACTGGTTCACAAATGATAAAGTCTCTAAATTATTGGTTAAAAGCACTAATTTACAACAACTGGTGGGAAAATTAACTAGCTTTCTTCAGACTTTCGGTATTTTACTGGAGAGAGTGCGACATAAACACTATCTGCCCTTGCAGCAGTCAGAAAGCTTCTGCCTGGATCATTCACACCCACAGCTACCTAGTAGCCAATCACATTGTTGTGGTCAGGCTGATGATCTTTGGCATCCGCAACTGATTACAACTTAACAAACCAATCAGCAACCTTTTCCCATGCTGTATCTCACTTTGTACACACCTCCTGATGCCAGCCCGTCTACAAACAGCTTCCCTTCTGCCTGATCAAAGCAGCAAAGACAACATAAACATGACTTACAATGAGTTTCAGTAAGTTGCTTTTTAAAAGTGCAGCAATTCTTTCCACAACCCTCAGTTTTAAAACAGTTGTTTTCCATTTCAGTCCACAATCAAATATCCAGAAAAATAAAAAAAGACATGCTCTTTAATCTCTAAGTGTGGTCGCTGGTGTTATGTACAAAATGCAGCAATCAATTTGCATGGAGCAAACTTACCTAAACAAACAATATGATAATGGCCAGGGGATAATCTGCTTTTTTATGATATTGATTGAGGGATAATATTGATCCAGACACTGGGAAAAACTCTTTGCATCGCTTTGAACTAAGTTATGGGGTCTTTTGCGCTCCCAGGAGAGAGCGGATGGAGCCACACTAAAAAGCCACACATCTTTCACTAAAAAGATGGCACACCCGGCAGTTCAGCAGAATCTCAGCACTGCACTGGAGTGTCAGCCCAGGGTTTTGTTCTCAAGTCCCTGGGCAAGGGTTTGAATCCTTTGGACTCAGAGATCAAAGATTGAGCCTTGACTGGTGAGCCACAATTAGTTTTTTTCTGATTATTAGCAACATCTATCTGTAATAAAAGTCCAGCTTCACTTTGTGTAAACTTCTTTCCCATCACCTGCACTTTCAGTGTCATGGTTGATGTGTGTTTTTTACCTGATGTCTTGGTGTCATGAGCAGGTACTTCTGTAAAGTATTTACACTTTCTATTAAACCTGCCTTTCTGGACTTCCAGGATTAAATGGCTCAGTGGCACTTTGGAAATATTCCTTTCAACTTTACATTTTGCTCTAACTTCTTTTGATCTCTGAGGTTACCTGTGGATAGAATTTGTTTTTACAGAACAATGGGACACTCATTTAAAATTGAGATGCGAAGAAATGTCTGCTCTCAGATAGTAGTGAATCTGTAGAACTCTCCTCTCCAGAGAGTTGTGGAGGCTAAATCACTCAAAATATTTAAAGAGGAGGTAGATAGATTTTTGAAATATCATGGAGTTGAGGGCTGTGAGGAGCTGGTGTGAAAGAGGCGTTAAACTAGGGTCAGACCAGCAATGATGTTGTTGAATAGAAACATAGAAGAAAGGAGCAGGAGGAGGCCACTCGGCCCTTCAAGCCTGCTCTGCCATTCTTCACGATCATGGCTGATCGCCCAACTCAATAGCCTAATCCTGTTTTCTACCCATAACCTTTGATCCCATTCGCCCCAAGTGCTATATCTAGTCGCCTCTTGAATACGTTCAAAGCTTGGCATCAACTTCTTCATGTGGCAATGAATTCCACAGGCTCACCACTCTTTGGGTGAAGAAATGTCTCCTCATCTCCGTCCTAAATCGTCTACCCTGAATCCTCATATTGTGACCCCTGGTTCTGGACACACCCACCATCGGGAATATCCTCCCTGCATCTACCCTGCCCAGTCCTGGTAGAATTTTATAAGTCTTTATGAGATCCACCCTCATTTGTCTGAACTCTAGAGATAACAATCCCAACCAGGTCAATCTCTCCTCATATGTCAGACCCTCTGTCCCTGGAATCATCCTGGTAAACCTTTGCTGCATTCCCTAGAGAGCAAGAGCATCCTTCTTCAGAAAAGGAGGCAAAACTGGACACAATTGTCTACCCCGAATCCTCATACTGTGACCCCCAGTTCTGGATGAATAGCAGGCAGGTGTGAAGGATGAATGGTCTATTCCTACTTCTATGTCTTCTGTTCTTAAAATTTTAACTTTTATTTCCCACCTTCCTATTACCATGGTATCAAGATGTCAAACTGAATCCTGGGCTCAAATGTGATCTGTGGCTTTGACCAAATTAAAATGGCAACTTTTGGGTTGGCAGGAATCAGTGCCATGTGTTAATTTCAAATTGTAGATAGCCTTGATATTGTTTGATGACATGGTCATAAAATCATGCAATATAACATTTGGTTGTCAAAAGGATCAAGATATTGAAATTCTGTAACCATATCTCCCAGTTCGATCATGGAACTATCGTTTTATCGGAGGCTATCAATAATACTTAAAATACAGCAAATATAAACTTTTTACATTATCCGGTATTAATATGGTGTATGTTAATTAGCATATAATTGCAATTTTGATCTATTGATTTTGAAAACATCGCACAAGTTATGAACATCTTGAGGCAGAAATTCCTTTGTGCCCTAAATGAATTAGCTAATGTTATGGTTATGGATG